TAGCCACCAGCCACACATGACTCTTGAACACTCAAAGTGTGTCTAGTCCAAATTGAGATGTTCTCTAGGTATAAAATATACACTAGATTTCAAAGAGTTAGTCCAAGAAAACCCTCGATAATAATTTCTAAGCATTACATGTTAAAATGATAATATTTTAGACAGGTTGGATTAATTAAAATACATTGTAACATTAATTTCACTTGTTTCTTTTTACTTTTTCTTTTTCTATTGTTTAGAGACAGGGTCTCACTCATAGTGACCTCAAACTCCTGGGCTCATGTGATCCTCCTGCTTCAGCCTCCTGAGTAGCTAGGACTACAGGTGCCTGCCACCACACCCAGCTAATTTTTTAAATTTTTTGCATTCATAAGTTCTTGCTATATTGCTCAAGCTGGTCTTGGACTCCTGGCCTTAAGCAATCCCCCCACCTCCACTCCCCAAAGTGCCAGGATTGTAGGTGTGAGCCACTGTGCCTGGCCTCTTTTTAAAATGTGGCCCCTAGAAGCCTTAAAATTACAAAACTGTCTTGAATTATATTTCTCCTGGACAGTGCTGAGTTAGTTTGTCCCCACTTGCATTCAGTCCTTTAGGCAACATGGTGACATCAGGCTAGTGGGTCTGCCTCTGTCTTATCCGACCCTGCCCCTCCCCCACTCCTGGGGAAACTTCTGCTGCACCTGAGACCCCTAAAACCACGCCCAGGTCTGACGGTGGCCCCTTTAAATATGTCCCATGCTTGAAACTGTGCCCTGTGAAGAGACACAGGAGGAAGGATCCCACAAGCTTCCATAATGACTGGTCAGGCAGGGCCCCGCCCCTGGGCATCTGCATTTTTGTGTCAGCTGGTCATGCTGTCCTGCAATCTGTGCTACCCTAGAACCACTTCATCGGTTTCTTAATCCCTCTTCCCTACTCTTGTCTCTTCCTTCTGTGACCTCCCAGATGCATTGCTCTGAGCCTCCTAATCTTCCTGTTTAAGAACCTTCAATGGCTGCCTCAAAACACCCGAGGAAGCCCAGACTCTTGAGTCGGATCGTCAGAGCCTATTGCGAACTGGCCATGGTCCACCTTTTGGAGGCCTCTCACCTCGAGTTTTACTTCCTGTTCTAACCAAACGGCTATGATTCCTTGCACAGCTCTCCTCACTTGGCATTCTCCCCTCCTGATTTCCGCCTGTCAAAACCTATTCATCCCTGAAGACCCTTTTAAACCCTTCCTCCTCCCAGAAGCCTTCAGGGTTTCCATGGTGACCTTTCTCATTGTCAGAACCTGTCTGCACCAATTAATTGGGAATAATCATCCAATTGTCTTGAGGACATGGATATCAAACAGTTCCTAACAGATTGTATCATGCCTTAGCTTTCGTGTCTTTAGCTCTTTACTCTTCGAGTGTGTGAAGGACTTCCACGTGCTTGGAGTCTATAAATATTGCTCATCCCATTTGTGAAGGACTTGCCTTACATGAATATACTCACTAGAATAATTAGACAGGGTATGTTAATGTTAGGGGTCACTCACATTGGAGAGAGATGGTGATCATATTTAAGCTGCTACTATTTACTCAAACCTACACCGTATACATGGCACAGCTGTGTCTTCACTAATGTTTGTTGATGGGTTTAATGGAGAATGAGGGCCTCATTCAGAGCAAATCAAACGGGAATTGTTCAGGCAGAGGGGGCACAGGCTGAGTAGCCTTGGGAACAGCTGTCCACCAGCAATGTATGGTTCCCTCCAGCCCTGATATCCTTCCCTGAGGGGAGTGGGGTGATGGGGGCATTGCTGGCCATGGTGGCGCCCAGTCTTTGGCAGAACTTTTGAGGAACAATCTCCTTCGCTGTCTTTTATTTAGGTTAGTGATTTCCTAGGATATGGTTATCTTCTCTTCTCCATCCACCTTACAGCTCAGTATTGGAACTTGTAAATTATGGCAATTAACCAGAACCGTGGGCCGAGTTTTTCTGCATCACGTGGTTCTGGGACCCGGATGAGGGACTGTACCCTGATTCAAAGGGAGGGAGAGGGGACATCATGCCCAGGAGGGTGGTCCTTCCTGAATAACACATTCCACATCAACTCAACCTGCCCCAAGCTGTCACTTGATCCCAATTTGCATTAAAGAAAAGCTACCCTGTGTGTATTTGCCCATAATAAGGGCTCTGCCTCCAGCCTTCCTGGCATCTGGGCCACACCGCAGCCGTGAGTAGCCTCATGCTTTGCAATCAAAGTTGCCCCATCCCTTTTGCTTTTGTCCTCAGGGCGGAATAGGAGGAAGAAGACAAAGGTCCTCCTAGGCCTTCTTAGGGACTGGTCCAGCCTGGCTCAAGTGGGAAGAAAAGCTGACAAAAAACTCTACCAAATGGCTCCATCCTCCAGGCCCATGGGGGGGATGAAGGCTGGAGCCAGGTTGCAGGGCTTCCCTGGCCCCTGTGCTCAGAGCAGCCAGTAGGTGTCTCTGTTACACACTGTTTGGGGACAGGCAGCAGAAAGATGCAGAGTCCTCGCTCCCCTATACCCAGGTTGCCCATGGAGGCTCTGGGGGTTCCTCAGGCACCACCCTCCAGGGGGGAAGCAGGAGGGGGCACGTCAGGGATTGGGAAAGGGGCGAAGACTAGGGAGGCATAAGGGGGTGGAGGGGGAGGACGGTGGAGGGGGAGTTGGAGGGGGAGGAACTCCCCTTAGAGCAGGCTCAGCATGGGGAGGATGGAGAAGGGAGGGGGCATTATTTATAAAGGGGTTAAGCACACAGGCCCTGGAGGAAAGGCTGGGTCTGTGTTTGCATGCTAGCCCTGAGTCTTAACTAGCTGTGGGGTTTTAGGCAAATGACTCAACCTCTCTGTTTCCATTCACTCATCTGTAATTGAAGATAGACTACTACATGGGGCTCTGGGGCCATTTAAATGAGGGTCCACGTAAAAAGTGCCTGCATCTAGTAAGCACTCAATGAGTTTCAGCTATTTCTTTTTAATTTGACTGGGCAATCAGGAGAGGCTGGAGGAAACTTGGCCCCTGCACGTCTCACAGGCTCCCGCCCCCATCAAAGCAGCAGCTGGAGACTTTGGAAGCCAGGTCTGTTCAAACCAGCAGGACTTGCGGAATGCACCTGAGAGGCTGGTGCTCACTGGGGTGGAACAGTTATTTTAGTGGCATCACAGAGGATAAGGGGGGCTCCAAGGATGAGAAGAGGGAGTCACCAGCCTGTTAGCCAATCACCAGCAGGCTTGGCCTTTCCTGGGAAAACGACCAACCATCTAGGGGAACAGAGAGGTGGTGTAGTTTAGGGAGGGAGAGCAGGAGCCCTGGGGTTCAAATCCTAACCGATCTGGTGTGTTGTAGGACAAGCGGCTTTAACCCCTTCAGTGCCCATCACCTGCCGCAAGGATGTCGTAAGGCCCCAGAGAGTTAGTGCATGCGAAGGGCTGACTGCACGATGCCTGTGACTGCAAGGCAGGAGGAAAGCACCAAACGATGCCATGAAGACGATGTCATCCCAGACTCGGTTCATCTTAATTCATCTTCGCTTTAAAGGGAAAACATGGCAGGTTGGGGCTACAAGGGGAATCCAGCCATTTTGCTAAACCAAGACACAGACCAGAGAGACTTATCCAAGGTCATAAGTTCATTAAGAGCCAAGGAGGGGAGCTGAGCTCCTCACTTTAAGTCAAGTTAACAGTTTTTAAAGTTTTTAAAAGTTAAGCTTTTAAAAGTGATTAACATTCTTCCTCCTGATGTCTAGATATAATCTATAAGAGCATTTTATCCAAATGTTTTTCACAGGAATATCATAGGTGCTTCTATTAATGGGATCTTATAGATTATTGAATTTGGGGAATGTTGAGTTAGAAAAAAATTACATAGGATTTTTAGCTGCAGGTCTTCTCAGAGCCTTTCCTATGTCTGTTACGTTGTGACTTTTCTAGGTGCCAGTAGAGTGAAAAGTATTTCTCAATGCAATTAACAACACTACCCTTGCTTTCTTGGAACATCTCGTGGAGGTAGTATTCATGGAATAGACTTTGAAACTAGGTCTGGGATTGTACTATATCATCAAGTCCACAAATAAGCACGTGATAGTACAAAGCCTGCCACTTAATCCCTGTTGATTAATGTACGTATATTTAACAAGAAGGATCCACACTGAACGATAGCACTTAGGTCTGCATGGTAGGATTACAAATTATTTATATTTCCTTCTTTATTTATATTTACAAATTATTTATATTTCCTTCTTATGCGTATCTGCACTTTGTGATGTTCTGGAATGAACCTATATGTTAGGACCCCCAATAAAAATGACTCTTTATTTCACAATCTGTGATGAGGCATTTACTTGAAAGAATGCCACTCCTCTGGGGATGAGTTGCCGGGCATGTCTTTACTAATGACTTAAAAACAAAAGGATGGGGCTTGTGTTCATCAGATCTTCACATGAGGCTAAATTTGGTGGGGTGGCTTATTCTCAGAGAGCCGAGAATAAAATTCAAAACAACCACGACAAATTGGAAACATGGCCCTACAAAAACCGGATGAAATCCAATAGTGCAATTATAAGGTGATATATTTAGGGCTAGAAGCAGCCACCATATGTTTAGGATGAAGACAGGAGCAGCTTCCAATCAGTCAGCAACGACCATGTGAGGCCCTACTAGGTACAGGTGGGGACCGGAGCTAAGGGTGGGGACCAGGCATGGGTTTAGGAGAAAAAGACCTGGTCAGGGTCAAAGTCCCCAGGCTGAGGACAAAGGTGTGAGATCATCCTCAGGACCCTGTTTTCAGAATGTGAAATCCTAACAAAGTGGTCTGACATGAGGTATGACTTCCAGTTTGCGAAAGGAAAGGCCCTCTGAAATCGGAACAACCTTTCCGTTCTAGGACTGCTGTCGTGTGACCTCACCACATCAGGATGTCATCTGTCCCCTGCCAGGCTAGGGGAACATTCTGGTGTCACGTTCAAGTGTAAGAGGCACTCTGGGGGCTGCAGTGTGGAGGCAGGAAAGTTTGAAGTTCTGGGACATTTTACTGGTTTATGGGGACAATCAAATAGAACATTTGAAATCCGAACCCTCTCCGAAAAGCTCGTGCTGGAAAATCCGGGGCATCTGGTGGTAGTCAGCGGAGCGCCTCGCCTGCCTCCTTCAAAGCTGCCTGGATTCCGCACACATAAAAGGCCCGTGACGTGCCGGCCCCGAAGTCATCCCCCTCTCGGTCCCGCGTTAGTCAGCTCCTTATGAGATCGCTGAGTCGAGTCTGCGTCACCCCCTCCCGAACCGGCGGGCAGACGCTGGAGGGTGTCCGGGCAGGAGCCACAGACATGATCAAAGAGATGGAAACGAGGCCCTGTGAGGGAAGGTTAAAGGAATTGGAAGTATTTCTCCTGGAAAAAGCCAGGGAGAGTCTGAATAACCCAAACTCAGAGAAGAAGCACACAAACCGCACGTAAGCCCTGCTTTCCTGCCCATCCACGGCCTTCGTGCGCAGGGTCAGCCGGAAGTGATAACTGACAGCCGGAAGTGATAACCTACAGCCCGGAAGTGATAGCCGACAGCTCACCGCGATCCTGCGCTTCTTACGCTTCTCGCTTGCTGTTAGGTTCGTTGCATGGTTATCTCATTTCGTCATCTCTGCAGTCCTGCGACCATTGTCCTTGCCTTTCAGACGAAGAAGGTGGGGCCCTACAGAGAAGTTGCGAGACTTGTCTGAGTTCATTCCGCCAGGGAGTGGTCCCGGGACTCCAGCTTAGGCCGCCCCGTGTCGCTTCACGCTGTGTCTCCACCGGCAGATGCTCTTCACAAGGGTCCTCTAAAAGACCACCCTCCTCTCCCATCGCACAGCATGAAACCTGCAGACGATGGTCAACAATGACATCTTTTAACTGACCAAAGGCACTTGAGCTGTCACCGTGTTCGGTTTCAACAATTCACCTTACACGATGTGATGTAGCCACTTCCCCTGAGTTATTAATACATGGGGTGTTACGAGCTGAATTGCGCCACTCTCCCCCCATTCATACGCTGAAGTCCTGACCTCTGGAACCCCGGATTGTGACTACATATGGAGATAGAGTCATTGAAGAGGTAATTAAGTTAAAATGGGGTCATTAGAGTGGGTTCTAATATAACTGGTGTCCTCATAACAAAAGGAGATGGTGACACACATACCCTCATGGAAGAAGGACCATGTGAAGGCACAGGGAGAAGACAGCTGGCTAAGCCTAGGAGAGAGGCCTCAGAGGAAACCAACCCTGCTGACACCTTGATCTTGGACTTCCAGCCTCCAGGACTGGGAGACAATACATTTCTGTTGTCTAAATCACCCTGTCTGAATGGTGCTTTGCTATGGCAGCCCCTTGAAAACAGGTGCACTGGGTAATCCTCAAATACCCTGTTGTAACTCCCTTTGTAAAAGAGGAAATGGAGACTTGGAGGGTCCCAGTCACTTGCCCACTGTCATACAGGGAGCTGGTGGCAGCAATGGAGTCACATCCCTTTCTTGTCACTCTGAGTCCGGTGCACCTTCCAATGCCCTTTAGGAACACAGTGGAGAGGAAGAAACACAAAGGGCGGGTAACACTGGCCTGGGAGGTCAAACCCTGACTGACACAGGCTGTGTTTCCAATCCTGCATCTCGGCCAGGGCAGACCTTTCTATCACCTAATGTGGAGACTTTGGGAAAGAGCTTTAATAGCAAAGCCAACCGTGGGGTCAGACAACCTGTTGACTGGTACACAAGCATAGGTAGAAGGGCCCGGCAAGGTGCTGTTAAAATGCAAGCCTGAGCAAGCTTACCTGGCTCTGCAGGAGATAATAAAACTGATCAGAGTGTGGAAACACAAATGCAGCCCGTCTTGAACTGTAGGAAAATTCTTGCAGATCAAAGAGGAACCTGCTGGCTGTCATCATGCTGGGGAAATGTGGAATTGGGCCTTCATAATTAGACCTCTACTTTAGCACAGGGGCCTGGTTACCACTAAATTAATAAAAATAGAGGATTAAACACCATGGGCCCAGCTTCAGCTCCCCGGGTCAAGGTAGATGGGACTTGGAGGAGAGAACAGTTCCGAGAGGCACCCAGAAACCACTGAATGTGGCTTTCTTGGGAGGAAGCTGGTTTCTGGATGTGGAAGTAGTGTCAGGAGGGGGTCATGGGATTTGTACAAGGTTTCTAGGCCAGGGCAGGTGCAATGCTCTCTGATTTCTGTGCACGCAGGGCATGGTCTGTGCAGCCCACAATGATGGTGACCACCTGTGACAGGTACTGTGGGTGCATAGAAATTTGTATCTATTTTATGTCAAGGCTTCACAATATTTCAAACTATTCTTATTTTACATGGGAAGAAACAGAAGCACAGAGAGTTCAAATGACTAACCAGAAGCCACGCAGATCGGTGGTGACCAACCCAAGTCTCAAACTCAGGACCACCATATTCTGAGGTTCCTGCTCTCTCCATCTCTCCAACACACAGTTTTCTCCCAACTCACTGCCTTCTGTTTGCTGTTCAACCTTCCTGGTGTTCAGCCTGGCACTCTGTGCCCAGCATGAATGCCAAGTTATGGGGAACCAAATAATAGCTGTGGTAAAATACAAACTAAAGAATCCATCTCCCCATTGGACCACAGCACTATTGAGTGTTTCTCAAAGTATCAGTTGTGATATGTTGTTGCTCCTCAACAAAAGTGTTCTGTGGTCAGATGAGAGTGGGGCCCATCCCCCATCTTTGAGAACCACAAAGCACATTAGTGTAGGAGATGAATAGAGGGTGACTGCTGTCCCCACAGTGTCCCCAGCCCAGCTCTGGACTCCAGTAGGAGCTCAGCAAATATTTATGGATCAAACAAGTGAACGAATGAATGACTGTGTTGAAACCTGTTCATTTGGTGTAACACAGTGTATTAGTATGCGCTGGATGCCGTTATGAAATAGACCAGGTGGCTTGGACAGCAGAAATTTGTTTTCTCATAGTCCTGGAGTCTGGAAATCCAACATCAAGGTCCACCAGGGATGGTGTCTGGTGAGGGCTGTCCTCTTGGGTTGTGTTCTTTTGTCACTGTATCCTCACATCACCTTTCCTCAATTAATATGTGTGTGACGAGGGGGGGGGGAGAGAGAGGGAGAGGGAGATCGTGCACACACTCTGGTGTCTCTTCTCATAAGCACACTACTAATCTTATTGGATTAGAGTCATGCCTTGGTGACCTCATTTAACCTTAATTACTTCCTTAGAGGCCCCATCTCCAAATACAGTCACACTGGGGATTACAACTTCAACATATGGATGTGGTGGAGGGGGTCGCCAACATTGAGTCCATAACATCTAGTATCTCAAACTTATTTTCTAGCAAATTCTCTTTTGGTGTGTGTCACCACAGTATGGTTTTTCTGAGAGAGATACTTCCAGAAAGGTAGTTGGTGTTAATGCTGCCTGACAAGAGACTCACAGATAACTGTGTTGTGTAGGTGAATTTCCATAGTGCCAGATTTTGGAAAGTCTCTCAGTGAAGAATTGGAGGCAGAGTGGTTAATGAGCTTAAGGTTTATAGAGAAAATTCAGTCATGTCCAGATGCCGTTGGGGCTCTGGTGGATAGCGGGAAACACTAGCTATGAGACCGGGCTCAGCTGGGAGGGCACAGACAGAGTTCAGGGCCATTCTTTGGTCAAACTTCAGGCAGCTTTAGAAAGAGCAGTTTCTCCCTGAAGCTGAGAGGAGGGCACGAGACCTAGTGCCTTAGTTCGTTTGGGTTGCTGTAACAAAAATACCACAGACTGGATAGCTTAAACAGACATTTATTTCTCACAATTCTGGAGACTGGAAAGTCCAAGATCAAGGCGCCAACAGATTTGATATCTGGTGAGGACTCTCTTCTTGGTTTGCAGACAGCCACCTGCTCACAGTGTTCTCCCATGGGAAAGAGAGAGAGGAACCAAGCTCTCTCAGGTCTCTTCTTAAGAAGGTACTAATCCCATTAGGGGGGCTCTACTCTCCTGACCTCATCACCTCCTGAAGGCTCCACCTTCTACTAATATCACCTTGGGGGTTAGGATTTCAACAATTTCGACCTGGATCTTGGGAGTATACAGATATGCAGTTCATAGCATCGAGGTTAAAAGGATCCTAGTTTTTTCTTGGAAATTGATAGGGGAGAGATTGGAGAGAGATTGAAGGAAGGGAGAGAGAGAGAGAGAGAGAGAGAGGGGGGGTGTAGAGAGAGACTGAAGATTAAATGAGCTCGGCCTAGACACCTAGGGGTAGGTACAAAATGACCAGGCAGGAGAGAAAGAGTACAGTGGGAAGGAGGCAAAGTCAGTGAGCGCCTATAAGAACTGAATCCAGCCCCTGACCCTTAGTTGAGCCCATGAAGTGATGGCGGGTCCCTCTGCCTCAGACCCTCCCTGCCACCTGGTGGGCGCAGGACAGAGGAGCTGGGCGAGGCTGGCAGCATGAGGGCTCAGTATCATGTTGGCTCAGTGCCCACTGGTGCCCCTGAGTGACGTGAGCTGTAGAATCCCCAGGGACCCCCATCTACGGGCTGCTGCTTCCTGGGGAAAGTGGTCCCTTCCAGGAGTGACATACGTTTCTAGGATTCTGAAGGGATCGAGGGAGGCTTAGAGCCCATCAGCCAGGAAGCTCAAAGGTCTGGCTCTGCCGGAAGGGAAAGAAGGAACCACCAAGCACATCCTTCCTTTCTGCAAAGCGGGAGTCCAATCTCATCAGGCCCGTGGACTTGTGGCAGAGTCAGTTTGGAATATTTTTGTTCCATTCACGGGCCTCTAATGGAATCAAGACCTAGCTATTTATATTTACAGATGGTGCAAACTTCAGTGGAACATCAAATGTGCCAGATGTTGTTAGGACAGAGGAAAATTAGGGAACTTGGCTAATAGAAATAAAAGACACCCCCACCCCAACGAAGGAAGGCTTTCTCCACCCGAGATGCTCGGGACTTTGAACGTGCAGCAGATAGGAAACTCGGGGGTTCGAGCCCCGCTTGATTTAGTGCAACTTCTGCAGCACAGCACGAAGAGCTCACTCCAGCTCGTTTTGCTTGGGGAAAAAGAAATGCAGTCACTGTCTGCCGCCATCGCTCCTTCCGAGCCTGCGCGGGGGACCAGGCAGCAGCCGTTTCATCTCCAATTATTTTCAGCCAAGGGAAAAAACAGATGGTAAATAGCGCTGAAAAAAATTTTTTTAGAATTAATATTAATAAAAGATGTGTTGGAGGCTCTGACTGAATCCCGAGGAGCCAGGGCCAGCGTGGAGTGTGGGGTGCTGGAGGGGGGGTGGAGGTGTTGGAGGAGGGGGCCGGACCCGACAGGAGGGACGAGGTGGCGGCAGCGGAGGAACAGGCACACGGGCCCGGGCCAGACGCTCCCCAAGCGTCACAAGGTGTCAGGGGACAGCGCGGGCAGTGGTGTCCCCGCGGGAGCCCGGCATCTGGCCGGGGGCTGGAGCCCTAATGCCACGCGGCGCCTCGGGAGGCTCTGGGCGCCGCGGGGGAGGAGGGCGGAGGGCCCAGGCAG